CCTCAGCTACCCTATTTTCTGCTTTCCTTTTTTTTTCCACAAGTCGGTTGGTAGGAAATGGAGCAAACCATTTGATCTGCTCCTCTTGAAAAGCCTTGGGAAAGGAAGTAGAAAGTCTTGCCAAGCCCTATCCTAGGACCACTGGACCCTTAACTGGGGTCATTCAACCTTCTAGGCTAAGAAGAAGCAGGTTGAGGATGAGAAGGACATGAGGTAATGACGGGGGGGCAGGGGAGAGAGGGCAGCAAAGGCTAAGCTAGTGGGAAGCCCTCAACAGAGTCACTGTAAGAGTATGTGTTTCTTGCTTTGCCCCAGGCATGGCTTCCCTTCTCCAAAGGATGAATTCATTTTTTCTGTGCCTGAGTTTCTTTTGAAGATATAATCACTTATACCTGTCCATTAATAATTTTTAATAAAAATGACATAACAAACTGAGAAGACCTAAGAGTATTATTTAAATCTGATAAGCTCCATTATTATTACCTCATCTTAATAAATAGTTGATTCATTGGTGTATATGGATTTTACTATCGTAAATGATAGATATAACAAAAGAATGAATTCAAACCTGTGGTAACTTAAAGGCAATTGCCTATTCAGTTTAGGTCCCAACTGTAAGTGAAAGGGTCAGTTTACTCATGATTTTGTTTTGCTTTTTTTTGCATTTTAACCTTAATGGTTCAAAGATTCTTGAGGATACGGCATCATTAGCTCATCTTTCCAACTAAATATGATTATTTTAATTAATGGTAAACCATAAGTTCTTTATTGGACTAGTAATGGTATTGCTTTTATTTGTTTTTTTGTTTTTCACAGCATTTAAAATTGCTGTGCTTTTAACAAAGGACTCACATGGATTGCTGGAGAACATTTGTATACTATTATAGTATCATAGAATAAAAAAATTAGCAAAGGACACAGCAAAAGACACAACAGGGCAAACTTATCAAAGAAATAAAAATCAATGAGAACATTCTCTAATTGGACTTCTGTTTACATTTTCATTGGCAATTTAATCATTCCTTTGTTTCAAGGAGGTTCCATTTTCTCTACTAGAATCCTCTGACTATAGTGTTTGTTCTATAATTTTGTTTAAATGTCATACTTCCATTTCGTCATGGTGGCTTGGTGCCTGGGAAAAGTTGCTTAGATACTGATTCTTGTGATCAAGGAAGCCACCATTACTTATACCAAGAATTAATTATTCCACTTATCATTGCAGACAGGACCCAAACTTATTAGAGTATTAAACACCCGGCCCCACAGGCAACCTCTATGCAGGAATACCAGTTACTTTCTCTAAGCCATCTATATAGAAATATGCACTTTGCTTATGTAGTTGGATTCATCTGTGTGTACAGTGTGCACAGATCTTTTTCTTCTCTTATGACCCACCCCTTCATTTTCTCCTGACAAATGCTTCCATGAGGGCAATAAGGTTTTTACTGTCATAGTAAGAGGAATCTCTAATTTAGCTCATGATATTTTTCTGGGATAGTCATTTTATACTAAAAAATGACTAGATTCAATCAAACCTATCTTACTAAAGGGGAAACATGATAAAGTCCAGTGGTTGAATACATGGATATTTGGTAGCACAGTCCTACAAGTCCAGTGACTGACTTCCTCTAAACTTGGTCAAGTAATATAATTCTTTAAAGCTTTGGTTTCCTCACCTGTAAATTGGGAATGATATGAGAAAAATATTAGATATTAAATATTGCAAGTTAAATGCTTAGCAAAATGCATTGAAAGTGCCTAATAAATGCTTGTCTTTGCAATGATGATGATAATCATGAAGAAAATAGAAACAACATTTACATCAGGAAAGATGCTTCAGATGGTGCAGCTTTTCTCTTTTTACATAATCTTCCCTTCTTTCTTAACTAGCAAAACTCTTAACAATGCACCTTGTCTCCAAATCACGTTTTTCAGTTCCCCTTGCCAGTTGGGTTGGCCATGAGGATAAGTTCTGGGGTGACAGCATGTAAGTTATACAGAACTTTTAGGAAGGCTCCAAGAAAGAGGAGGGCCTCTATCCTGCTCTTTCACATTTCTTTAGTTTCTAGTCTGGAATATTGATGAAATGAATGGATCTCCAATGGCCACCTTAGAAAATGAGAAAATCTTGAAGAAGGAAGCCATATATTGGGGATGATGAAGCAGAAATAAGGAAGTTTGGGATCCTATTGACACACTATTATATTTCCCACCTCCTGCCTCTTCCATGAGAAGAAATAAACATCTATCATCTTGAAACCCCTGTTAGTATGATGGTTTTGATATTGCAAATGAATGTCAGCCTAGATTATACAGAAGAGCTTTTTTTTTAAACTTTATTTTTAGCTAAGGATGTCATGTTTTTGGGAGGGATGCTCATTTTTAGAGTGCTGTTGAAGGGGTGAGAAATTCAAATTGGAAAATCCAAAAGGCTAGATTTCACTTCATGAGAAATAGAATATAAGAAAGGTCTGAGGGAAAATGAGTATACTAGTGAGGAAAGTCTGCCTATTGAGAAGAGTTGAAACATAATGCTAGTTCCTCAGGAGGGATTTTGCAGAGATGAGACAAAAAAGACAGCTAATGCCTGAGAGAAACTTGGTAGGAAGCACTGAGATGTTTTAAGAGCTTTCAAGGAGCTTCTCAATAGTATTAAAAGTAAACCTTGTTTGCTCATCTTCAGTAAATTATCAATGTTTTTGTAATGCATTATGTACTTGGATTTGTGTGTCTCTGTATCTATGTGTGTGTATCTGTGTGTGTTCATGTATGTGAAAGTTGGGTTCTGTGTCAAGAAGAATACAGAATAAGAAAAGGAGATGTTCATAGGGTTCCTATCACAGAATTGTTTATAATCAAAGCCCAGATAATACATCTGACAAATCACTGTTTCTTGGGAAAGTTTTCTGTGAAATTAGAGGATTCTTAGAAGTTGGGACTGTTGTAAGACCTCAAGTGAAAGTAGTTCTAAAATATCTGAGCCATATTTTTTACATTATGGATAATCATGTTATACCATCAATTGACTGCTTACAAGAAAACATTTGGCTACTAATTTTAAATGCAATGAAAGTACTTCTAAGATCATTACCTCAGGCCTTTGCTACTTTGGGTAGGTTTCGGTAATAAACTACTTTTCAACAATAATCCCCTTAAATAGAGACATGAATTTCAATACTTCACTATTCCCAAACTCAAGAAAGTCAGTCACCACATTTCTCATTGGGAGACGTATTAGGGAACATCAAAAATCAATACATAAAACCCTCAAAGGGAAGACAGATTTATTGAAAATCCTGCAGATTTTAGATAAATATTTTGCTCTTTGGCAAAAGCCATACCTGTGAGACCGTAGATTTGTTCGATAATCTTGATATCACCTGAAGAACAAACAAACAAATAGAAGTTGTAGCAATCATTTACATCTTCCCAAGTGGTTTGTGACTGAGTGAAATTTAGGAGGCAGGGGAGAGAGAGTTCAGAGAGAGAGAGAGAGAGAGAGAGAGAGAGAGAGAGAGAGAGAGAGTGTGTGTGTGTGTGTGTGACTGATTTACTTGTGTAGAACAGAGAAGAGAAAATACCTCCTGAAAGATGCTGAAAACACCCCCACATCCACCCTCTAGGAACCCTACTGACCAGTGTATATAATAAAAAAAGGGAGCAGCAAATTTGATGCGTGGTACTGGACACCACACTTAGGAAATAATGATCAAAATAGTGGGCTCATTGGATCTACTTCCCATTTTGATGCTTCATTCACTCTTCTTTGTTTTCCATTGCCCGTATTCCAATTTACTTCCCTTTTGCTAAATTCTCTCATGTTTCATGATTTTTTTCCTCTGGTTCTGTGGCAATACCAACCCATGGCATATTTTTGTATTTAATCTCATGTCTTTCTATTTAAACACCTCTCCTTACTTGAATACAGGTGGAGTGACATCTCTTACGTCCCATTTGTTTTATTGGGTCGTCGGGAAAGGCATGACACAGTTTTGCATAGAAAAACAGAAAAATAAGTCATGACTTTCCCGACGACCCAATACTTGCTATGATGTTGCTTGTGAACTAGGATTAAGTTCACTCAGCATCTAATCCCTTATTTAATTGAATTGAAGATCCCATTGATTGTAAAAAAGAAAAAAAAATGCTGCCTATCAAATTGTGACATGCCATCAATTGTAAAACAGATCCCAATTTCAGAGATGCTAAAATGGGAAAACAAGTGGGTAATACAGAATCACTTAAGCTTGGATCTCAGAGCACATCACATATAAAATCAAAGTACGGTACTGTGGAGGAGTATATTAAAAAAACATGCACCTTCCACGATGTATAAAGAAGCTCCAGAAATTATGACATATTTTGGAAACATGCTTCAGGTCTCATCTAAATTGATTTTGCTCAAATATACTTCTTTCATTTTAAAGTGCTAATAGATGCTATAAATTAACATAATTTTATTCACATAAAAAACCCAAAATCTTGCACTCAGAAATGATCTTCCTAGTAAATGAGACATATTTGGTAATTCTGTCACCCTTTCACTGTTGTCTTTTTTGTTTGTTTTTTCCTACATGATTAGGGAAATAGATTTGTTATCATTTATACAAATATCAGCATCATTATTGCTGTACCAATATATGCTTCATCAATGTTTAATTTTATCAAAGTAGTCAACCCATTCTACATCTGGTTAGGTGTCTAAATATGCATTAATCAAAAGCATTGTAGACATAAGTTTTGTACTAATGTCCTAAGTGGTGACAAATAAAACAGTTGAATAATTTAAAATGTGAAAAATAAGACAAAATTGTGGTGCTATTGCGGCTGTGATAGACACAAAATGTGTTTCAAAAGGGCTTTCAATTACAGCTTGGATGAGAGAAAGTGCATCCCCATGGGATTCAGGGAGCCTGAACGGCTCCAGGTCAGGGATGCTCTGTGAAATGTAAGAACTGGCCTTCGAGCTTGTGATCTGGGTGTGACTCCCAGCTCCCTAGTTTACTGCCGGGATGGTTTCTGTCAAGTTGCTGATCCCAAGGTTGTTTTTCTATATCAGTGCACACACATTACCTGGGATCTCATTACAATGCAGGTTCTGCTTTACGAGGTCTGGGGTGGGGCCTGAGATTCTGCATTTCTAAGGGGCTCCCACGTAATATGGATGCTGCTGGCCCACGGGGCACACTTTGAATAGCAAGGTCTCATAACCAGCATCGCTGTTCCTTTCATCCTATCACCTATCAAGTCATTAAGCATTCACTATGTCATAAGCACTCTGACAAATGCTTTCCAACCCTTATGTCCATTCATTTTCACTGCAATCCTATGAGGTAAGTACACATTGTATAGCCAGCACTACTGCGATAGGCTCTCTGAATAAATCATTTCATTTACTTCTATAATAGTATGAATCACATGTCTTTAAGAAGAGTACCATGATGTATCCGTTCTGTTGAGCAATACTTCATGCTGATTGAGATTCTAGGGCGTGCAGAGAATACTCACTTAATGGAAAACCAGAATTTTAAAGCTAGAAGTGACCCTAAGGAGTGTCTGCTACAATGGTTTGCACACCTGGCAGATAATAGAATGTTTTGAGAAGCATTCCTAAAAAAAAAAAAATCGGATTCCAGATCACCAGCTCCAGCCAGCTTCCTTCAGTTGGTAGGGAGGTCTCCAGGTCAGGTTTAAAACCACTGAATTAGTCCAACTCCTTAACTAGACATGTGCAAATGGCAGCCCAGGAAGATGAGGCAACTTGCTTGATTCATGCATCAAGTTCGTGGCAGAACCTCTACCAGAAGCCACGCATCCTGCCTGTCGGCGTACCTTACACGGAATCACAGGTTTTCTCAGGCACCTCCTCCGGCACTTAATGCTATTTATTACTTGGACTGAAAGACTAAATGCCTGATGTGTTGTGAAATTGAATCTGGCACAGGGTTTGATGATTGCTACAAAGCAGACCCAAAATAACTCGTGATACTAAGCTACTCACGCACCTCTTTAACCTTTTCTGTCACAGATCTTTTAGGAAATCTGATGAATTCTAGGCATTCTCTCCCCTGAGGGGGGGAAAAAAAAAGAATGGATACAACCTATGGATGGAAAATGTTTATCAACCCCATGTACTTGTCCCAGCAACTAGAATAAGACTTAAAGTTTTTGAAAGTTTTGAGGAACTTGTTCAATTTTGAATCCCTCCCACATGAATTTTTTATATCTTTTAAGACAATAGCGAGAATTTCTGGTAGTCTCTGATGGGGAAAATTTAAAAAAAACCAAAACCCAAACTGAAGTAATAGAGGCTGAGAAGATAAAAGGGAAGTGAATCAGATGTGAGGGAAGGAATGGGGGTCGTAATAAAGTCTCGAGGGAGAAAAAGAAGGTTGAGGGCCAGTTCACGTAGACCTTAGAATTGTACTCCTCCGTTTGTCAGAATAGAGGAAGGCAAGTATGGGCCAGAAGAACTAAGAGTATTTCTTGGCACAAAGTTGTCATAAATAGAGGTAAGACTTTATAACCTTGCAGACTGGGAAAGAAACATTCTCAGCTATGGTGAGTTGGTTTAAAAAGTTTCCATGTTGCTTTTCTTCTCCTTTCTATTCCCTGTCTTAACGGCCTAAATTCCTCTATTACTCTGTCAGTCCAGTGGGAACCAAGAAGCAGGACTCAATTGGAAAAATACTGCTCGTTGGCATGGGGAACCAAAGAGGTAAAATGCCTCTTAGTGCTCATACAATCTGCTATAAATAAGCAAAACAAATTCACAGTCTCTTTAAAAAAATGTGTAAAGAAGGCCTCAAACTTCTATTACTGAAGTTGAATTACAAATGGAAACCAAACATGCTAAAATAAATAGTAATTTCAGATGTGAAAAAAATGCCATCATAAAAAAAATCCGGTCGTATTCTGTAATGTCTTTTTTACTGAATGAAGACATTCCTGTAAGAGCTTTCATAGGCTCATGGCTGACTGTGGCCATCCAACTAATTTTTCCCTAAGGCGTTAAATTCCTGAATAGTAATTTTCCTGCTATGAGGACTTTCATGAATTGTTTTGGTCAGGAAGGGAACTCCTTGATTTCTTTCATCTATTTCCCCCACCCATTAAAATGCTTCTGAATTCTGACACAGTACTATGACAATAAGGTGTGGGACCCAGCCTCTCATGGAATGCCAATGCCTCACCTCTAGAAGGAAACTGAATGGTGTTTCATTAGTAGTGAGGCATTATCAATAAACTTGCCTGACTTTCAAGTTCATTTCAAAAGGCTGAACCACCAGGAAGTTGACTACTGTGCAGCCGGAAGGAAGCAAATGTGAATGAAACTCACCACATAGACCTAGAAATCCTAAACTGTAACCCAATGGGCCAGTGGCCCCAGAAAGGGAGATCTATTTCCTTTGTATACTTGATCTGCAGGTCAGAATCATAAAACCCCCATGTGAGCCTGTAAATGTGCTTTCAACTACAGAATCTCATAAAACACTAAAGTGCTCTAGTAAGAATGTTCCCGACCGCTGATTGCTCAGTTGTGAAATGGGGATGGGAATTACAAGGCTCTTCTATCTGGCTGATTCATGATACCCTCTGCTTTGTTAATAACACCCCATTGATGAAGTCACAAGACATGCTGAAGGAACATGTGTCCTCATTCAGAAAAAGGGATTACCACATGTTTTATCTTGTTCACTGGACACCAACATAACCAGTACTGATGGCTGTTTGGGATACAGAGAGTATGAAGGATACTCACAGATAACCCATAACTCGCATAGTTAAAAGGTTCACTCTTACAAAACCATGCATAATTGTCATATAATACAGGCAAGTAGCAAATCAGTAAGTCCCATTTTCATTTCTGATCTGCTCTTGTAGACTCAAGTGAAGGTGCCAATAAGTAGTGAATGACACCAATGACAGGTGGCAGGTGGGAGGACTGACCGGAAACCTCCAGGGAAAGTATAGGCTTTAAACAAGGGAGCATTCCTTTTGAACTAAACAAGTTTGAGAGTTCACCACCTTCTAATCTAAAGAAGAGGTTTTTTGAGGCTGGCCTGAATCCCTAAGTGGGTAATGCAGTTTCTATTGTTTCCTCTGCTTGTTATATAACTTAGAAACAGAAATGAGATTTTAATGAAAAAAACTGATGATTTTGACATCTTCCTGTTTCACACTGAGCTTGAGGTTATGACAAGCTATTAAGACTTAGAGTAGAATTCTCTTCCCCCAAGTAAATACCATCACTTCTGATGCAGAAAACCTAAGTCAAGTTATTGAGTCCTGAATTTAATGTTTACTGTTAGAGCTAGGGAGTTAGCTACTGTATCTATAGTGTAGGAAGCACCACAAAAACTCTTCATCCATGTATATT